TTAATCCTATATATATATATATATATAGGGTTAATGAGATTTGGATGCAGATTTGGATTCAGTTTTGGTTAGAGTGTGTCTGAGGTCATGCTGTGTGCTTCTTGTTTCATTGCTTCTGAGGCCTGTGATTCAGGGTGACCCCACCTTCAGTTCTGTTCACATGGACCAGGGAGTTCATATACAGTCTGTCCTCTATAATATCCCCTAGTAACTTTGCCCTCAGCTGTTTGGTTAGCATGAGGTACAATTTGCACAGCTAGGACATGATCCTAGCTTGATTCCCCTCCTCAATCACTTCCATTTATCATTTTTCAAATATAGAGTTGGTGTCTTAGTACTTCTAAAGGTGACCAATGAGATTTCCTCCCTCCTTCCTGCCTCCTTCCCTCCCTTCATCTTTTCTCTTTCCTTGCCTTGCCTTTTGCTTTTTTTGCCTTTTGCCTTTCCATTCCTTTCCTTTCCTTTCCTTCATATCATTATGAACTCATAAAATTTTATTGATTTGATATTTACTAACTTTTTAGCTTTTCCTTTTTCCTATTGTATATATTTAAAAGTATAAATGCCCTCAAACATATATTTAACTATGTAAATTTTGACTATAGTGTTTTCATTGTATTTTTTTTCCATAGTTATTTTTTTCTGGGAATTTTAGATGACTTATATTTCATAGTTTTCAAATATGTAGAGGATTTTTATTTTGTTTTTGTTACCTATTTGTAATTTAACTGCATTATAGTCAGTGTATATGCTCTGTAGCTTTATTTCTTTAAAATTTTTAAGATTTGCTTTATTGCCTGATCAGATTTGCTATTCATGCTACTCAGGTGATTTTTTTTGTTTTTGTTTTATAACTCATTCCATATCTTTATTGAATTTTTGTTTGTGATATTAGTTATAGCGAGAGGTATGTTAATCTCCCATTATGATTATGGATCTATCTATTTCCCTTTGTAGTTCTTTTGCACGATTTGTTGTAGTTGTTTCATCTGTTGATCTATTGATTCATTGATTTTGGTTTCTGTATATACAGAGTCATTTTTTACAGGTCAGAACTGTAGAAATAATGAGGAGGTGACACAGATACGCAAAGCTGATTTGGAGAACCACAATAAAGATGGAGGCTTCTGGACGGTGATTGATGGGAAAGTGTATGATATAAAGGACTTCCAGACACAGTCATTAACAGGAAATAGTATTCTTGGTAAGGCCTCACTTTCTACTTCATAGTTAAAAGTTGTGGCATGTGCCATTTTGAGCAGAGCATTTGGCTTTTAAGTGATTAGTTGAGTATTGTTCCAGCCCCCACACATTTTAATCTGCTGGTAACTTTGATGTCTGTCCTATCAGTGTTCAAGCACATTTGAAGAATTTCTCATCATTATGCATTTTGTGTGTGTGTTTGTTTCAGCACTTGTTGGTGGAACTTGTTTCAAGTCTGAGTTGGCCCAGGCAGCTCTGGGAGAGGGTGAAAGATCATTATACTTTGGTAACCCTCATGCCTGATCTATTTCCTACTTGACATTTCTACTATAGGTGTCTAGGCAAATTGCACTGAAGTAATGTTGCTTTTTTCTTTTTTGTTTTAGCTCAGTTTGCAGGGGAAGACCCAGTGGTAGCTTTGGAAGCTGCTTTGCAGTTTGAAGACACTCGGGAATCGATGCATGCCTTCTGTGTTGGCCAGTATCTGGAGGTGAGGCTGTGTGCAGTAGGCATCACGGTGGACATCAGGGGAGACCCTCTCTGTATATTTGTGATAGGTGGTTCTTGCCCTGAAGTACTGATAGCTGGGCTTTTTGGTAGGGGTGGATGTCATTAAGTGACACATGTGAAGATCCTTTAGAGATTTTTTTATAAATGAATTTAGTTGTTCATGTTAAGATTTATGAAGGACTGATCTTGAAAAATTATTTCAAAAATTGTTATTTGTAAGAAATGTGGACACTTTTCCACACATAAAAAAGAGGTTAACCTTTGGTCTTTATATTTTCATTGTAAGCTTATGTAGAAATTTGAAATGGCTTGAGATATATTTTTTAGGAAGAACTATCTAGTAGCATAATACTTTAGAATAGAAATATGTCCTACGTATGCATGAGCTTTGGAATTTATATATTGGGATTGGTTTTCCAGGTATGGATCCAGAAGTAATAAAATTTATGAAGTGCCATATGGGTAGTACTTAAAGCATTCATGAAGGGGGAAGATTGACTTTGCTTGTAAATTATCATCTAATACGACTGGCAAAGTTTATTTTCATTTGAGCTCTTTTCTAATTGGGTTTCCTTTTTGTTAGCATAATCTACTTTCCACTTAAGTGGTCACAGTTCACTACTCACAGCAATCCTTGTTGTATTTTTGTCTTTTTTGGTGTTATTTATGCATGTAACAATTCAGTATATTTTCTGAAGTATTGTTATACAGTCACTCTGGAAACTTCTATTTGATTTTGTAAGGAATTCTCTAGCTGACTTGTTTATTGAGCTTTGGTTTTACCACCAGTAGACCTGTGTGTTTACTGTCTGCTTTGTAGGGTGTGCATGGTTATTTTGGTAGCAGCATGAGCTCACTATAATAGGATGTAGAAAGAGGGTGTCCAGAGCACCTGCTTCTCTTCCTGATGGAACTTTGTTGTGTTTAGGGATATAAGCTGTTGCTCTTTTTGGTTTTATGTTTTTAATTAACCCTATTTTCTCAGACTGATGATGAAATTTATCTTTCCAAGCCTGACCAAGAAGTTGTTACCATACCAGATCTGGGAAGTCTCTCTTCGCCTCTGATAGATACAGAGAGGAATCTGGGCCTGCTTCTCGGATTACATGCTTCCTATTTAGCTATGAGCACACCGCTGTCTCCGGTTGAGATCGAATGTGCCAGTAAGAAAAGTTTTGCTTTCTGCTAACAGATTAGCAAGTTTTTATTTTATTTTATTTTATTTTACTTTATTTTATTTGATCTTATCTTAAAGACTTTATTTATTTATTTGACAGAGAGAGAGACGGTGAGAGAGGGAACACAAGCAGGGGGAGTGGGAAAGGGAGAAGCAGAAGCAGGTTTCCCACAGAGCAGGGGGCCCAGTGCGGGGCTCGATCCCGGGACCCCTGGATCATGACCCGAGCTGAAGGCAGGTGCTTAATGACTGATTGCGCCCCTAGCAAGTTATTTTAGCTGAGACATAAGTGCCATTTAGAATGGGAGAAGAATCAACGCAGTTGTTGGTGAGTAAAAATAAGGATAGTGAGACTAAGAGACTAAGCCAATTAAATAGAAATAGATGTAGTGGCTTTTACTTGCTCTCATGACCCATGGCAGCAGAGGAAGCTAACAGGTGCATAGGAAGATCAATTCTGTGCGTGCTCTTACTTTTGCCTCCTGTGACAGATGGGCTCAACCTGGCTGTCGTCTCTATGTGACATGGATTGGGTTTCTGTTGGGAATAGCATTTTGTTTGAGGATTGTGTTTTTACTAGACTCAAATACATTTTGGGATTTCAACCTTTTTAATCACCGAAAGTTATAAAATTTCTCCGTATAAGATGGATTAAAGTTCTGTTTGTGTATTTGTTTATTTCTCTATCCATCTGTCTACCAACCATCCAGCAAGGATCTATTGAGTAAGTACTTATGAGTTACCTTGCTGGGTGCTCAATGCATTAGGCGTGGAATTAGCCACATCTCTGCCTTTAGGTGCTTTTTGTGTGATGATGAGCCAGATGTTATAATAGATCAGTATGCAGGGTGATAGAGGATAAAATGGAGACATTTGTAAGTGGTTCTGATGGGGAGGCTGGGTGTGTGAAACACATGTGTGTGAGGGGCATTCTTGAAAAAAGTAGGGTTTCCAGTTGCTCATGTATGTGCACTGTCAGGGGAGAAGGCTGGTGGGCAAGGATGGCCATGGTACCTGCTCAGCCCAGCCTTCTGGAGCAAGCCGTTGGTGTGCATGCTGGGCATTTTGCTGTCTACAGAGTCTCTAAGTGGGAGAGGATGGGGGTTGGACTCATCCTCTCCCTCAAAGGGGAGTGGGGAAGATAGGCTTCTTCTAAATCAGCAAGGAGGGTGGGAAATTAGAAGAGTCAGAGCAGAGGAGAGCAGAAGGTGCTATGGGCCCTAGTGGAGGGGGCCTAATCTACTCTAGGGCATCAAAAGCCACCTTTAGAGCAGTATCTTTGAGAGATTAGAGAGAGTTCTAAATGTAGAGAACCAGGGAAGGTCATGATCAGATTTGTGTTCTAGAATTAATGTGACACTTTAGAGAATGCTCCTGAATGCTCTAACATCTAAATTTCCAGTAAAAGAATGTTGAGTACATCCCAGATTTGATTGCTTGGGTTTCAGAGGACTATTTTGGTAACACAAGTCATTGAAAAAAATTTGTAGCAATGTACAAACTGACTCTTCATTTTTTTGGTGCACCTTTAGTCTAGTTATCATAGCAGTTAGAATGAGCATTTACATTTGCACTGAGGAATTGCATATTCTCGAGGGTCTGGCCATGCCTCACACGGGTCTCCTTTATAGTCCACTGGATATCCAGTCTCCCAAGGATCTGTCTCTTACTAAGATCCCATGTTATATGTCTAGTAGTCTCTCATTTTTATTACTGGATTAATACTCTAGGGAATTTTTCTTTGTAGATCCCTTCTCATGTGCTGTTTTCCTACCTGGATGATCAGTGTTTTTGTCTTTATCTAGATCTCAGTTCAATTGTCACTTCCACAGCAAATCCTTTACTGAATCTTCAAATAGTGGAGGTCTTGCTGCTATACCCACTGTAGTACTTTGTAGCATACAGTTATCCCAATTCAAGTTGAATGATTACTTGTGTAAATGTTGCCCAGATGATGCTCTCCCTGTTAGAATGCAAAACCCCAGTCTTCACACAGTATCTGTGGAATCTGTCAGCTCTATGCTTGACCAGGTACCTAAGTAAATGTTGGACTGAAACTATTATCTTGCGTTCTGACACCATGCTTAAGATGTAGGAAAGAACCAGAAGTGTAGGGGCGCCTGGGTGATTAAGGCAATTAAGCGACTGCCTTCAGCTCAGGTCATGACCCCAGGGTCCTGGGATGGAGCCCCGCATCGGGCTCCCTGCTCAGCAGGAAGCCTGCTTCTCCCTCTCCCACTCCCCCTGCTTGTGTTCCCTCTCTTGCTGTCTCTCTCTGTCAAATAAATAAATAAAAATCTTAAAAAAAAAAAAAAAAAAGAACCAGAAGTGTTACCTGTTTTCCTGTAGATGTAGGAATTATAAGCCAGCCTCTGTAAATATGTTAGATGTGACTCTTTAATATGAATGATGCTAAATTTCTCCTTGTAAATTAGCTCTTCGGTTCTTTATCTTTTATTTCAATATTTATTTCTGAATAAATATTCAGTGCACTCAAGTTTCTTCCTAATATTTGCATATGCACTTTCTAGAGTGGCTTCAGTCATCCATCTTCTCTGGAGGCCTGCAGACCAGCCAGATCCACTATAGCTACAATGAGGAGAAAGATGAGGACCATTGTAGCTCTCCTGGGGGCACTCCTGCCAGCAAGTCCCGACTCTGCTCCCACAGACGGGCCCTGGGCGACCATTCCCAGGCATTCCTGCAAGCTATTGCTGATAATAACATCCAGGATCACAATGTGAAGGTGAGTGAGGCCTTTCCACACTTAGTGTCCTTTGGTTTACCTTAGGACTTTGATGTGTGAACTACTTCATGTTCTTTGATTGGCTTAGTACAGACTTTATTTACATATTATTTGTGGGGCTGGTTTTGAGGTAAGAGACTGGTTCGGTGCAATATGCCAGTGATGTTTTAGAAGCATTGGTGATTGCAAGGGCATTAGAAATGTGGCATGTAGTTTGGAATTCATGGTGGCATTTCGTGTGGCTCTGAATTTACCTCCAGCTGTTTCTGTTACAGGACTTTCTGTGTCAAATAGAAAGGTACTGTAGGCAGTGCCACTTGACCACACCAATCACATTTCCTCCTGAACATCCTGTGGAAGAGGTTGGCCGCTTACTGTTATGTTGCCTTTTAAAGCATGAAGATTTAGGTAGGAAACTTGATATTTTAGCTATACTATTATATTTTTTGACTGACATGCAATATGCATTCATTCTTACCCTGCCCCCTTTTTAAAATGTCTTTTACAGGTCACGTGGCATTATCTTTAGTTCATGCAGGAACACTTGGTATTGAGCAAGTAAAGCACAGAACATTGCCTAAATCAGTAGTGGATGTTTGTAGAGTTGTCTACCAGGCAAAATGTTCACTCATTAAGGTAAGTACATTTTTATTCTTTTTCTTATGTGCTTTGCAGACAGTTGGTAAAATATTTGTTAATTGTCTTTTCATATTTAACTTTGTAGACACATCAAGAACAGGGTCGTTCTTACAAGGAAGTCTGTGCTCCAGTCATCGAACGTTTGAGATTCCTCTTTAATGAACTAAGACCTGCAGTTTGTAATGATCTCTCTATAATGTCCAAGTTTAAACTGTTAAGTTCTTTGCCCCGTTGGAGGAGGATAGTTCAGAAGATAATTCGAGAACGAAGGAAAAAGAGAGGTAAGAACGTAAAAGGTAGAAAAGTGCTGTCAAAGTGTGTGCTTTGCCCCCATATAATTGAGTCTGTGATTTGAGTGAAGCTGTTCACTTACGATTAAATATACAGATCCTGCTTATTTTTCCAAGACATCAGATAATGATGCAACTTTGAGGGTGTTGACGATTTGGTAACTAGTAAGTGGATACTGAAAAAGGTAAACACTATACTCTTTATTAAATTGATGGGGAAAAGGAAGTATTTTTTTAATCACTTGTCCTGGTAAATGAGATGTATGGAAACATTTAATTTTGCAGTTAATCTTGCCATTCTTGTAAAGAAATGTTTTTCTTTGGAAATACTGAGTATTCTGATACATGAGGAATTGTTATAAAAGTAGCTAGAAGAGTTACTAATATTTTTAGGAAGCAGCTAAACAGTTGCTGGGATATTACGGAAAAGACTTTTTGCATTAAATAACCAGAATTTGAGTATGAGTACATAAAAGACTTTGGAATTTGGTTGTGATTATAAACATGTTTACAGAAATTTCTGATTATATTCTTATGAATTATACTGATTTATTCACAAATCAGCTTATTAAACAATATTAATTACTGATTTTTTTTTAATTACTGAATTTTGGATGGACATTATGAACAATGATGTAAGGAAAGATTAAGTTGTGTTAGAAGCTCTCCTGAATTGATTGTTCTTGAGCAAACTCTTAAGCAACAACAATTTGCCTAAATCCTAGAGATGTTCTAGGTCAGGAAATCATGGTAGGAATGCTTCTGAGATCCTCACAGCAGAGGCAAAAGCTTGGGAGACCGCCATCTCAGCTTGAGGGAGAATGATGTCCTCACCACCCAGCCATCACCTCCACGGAATCTGAGCCCACATTGTCACCTCTTAAAGTTTCTTGTTTGGGGTTTAAATATTTAGTTGTGTGAAGTTTGAAGCTTTTTTTTTTTTTTTTTTAAAGAAAATTAAGCAACTTACAAACGATTAATATTACTGGTGCTGTGTTAAGGTCACCAAGAGCACCTGATGATTCACTGGTATGGCTCCATAGGACTCAGAAGAGCTGTTATACTCAGAGTTATAGTTTATTATTATGAAAGGATACAAGTTAGAATTAGTAAAAGGAAAGGTGCGTTGAGGGAAATCCAAAGCTTCCAGTGGAGCTGCACAGAGCCATGCTTAGTCCTCTTAGCAGTGAGAGACAACATGTGTGAAGGGCTGTCAGCCAGGGATGCTCACCTGCATGGTTGCTCTCAGTTACTCAAGACTCCAGCCTCCACAGTGGAAACAGGTGAGAACCATAAGTCCCATTGTGGGCATAAATTATCTGGTCAAACTGGGAAACATGGCCCCAGACCTCAGGCATACAGAAACACTCTTCTCAGGCAGAACATGCCAAGGACTCAGAGCTCAGTTCACAGGCGTTGGCCAAGTGCTGAAGGAACAGTTTTTCTTGGGAATTTGCAGGGTTTGGGCAACCCAGACCTGCTGTGTTAGTGTTTTACTGCCCAGGTGTTATTAATTATGTTGCTTATTATATGCTGAGAAGAAATAGACTAAAAATCTTGAAAGGGAGCAAAAATATGGAAGCAACAGTGCATATCACATTGCAAATTCAATAGAAATTTCCCTAATTAAAGAGACTAACATAGTAAAAGGCATCCAGTTAATTCACTTGCACAATGGTGACAGATTAATTGAACTGGTCCAGAGTGGGCAAGCTGTGGTCTGGGGACAAATGCAGCCTGCTGCTTGCTGTCTTCTGCCGCTGTCTGCTGTCTACTGCTAAGACCAGTTTTGCATTTTAAGACTGTTTTTTAAAAAATCGAAAGAATAATATGTTGGACACATGGAAATTATATGAAGTTTAAATTCCAGCAACCATAAATAAAGTTAGCTGCTTTTCATTCTGCAACAACAGAATTGAGTATTTGCAATAGACTGAATAGCCGGCAAAGACTAAAATAGTCACCATCTGGCCCTTTAAGAAAATGTTTGCTGACTCCTGGGCTTCCCTTTCTGTAGGATCTGCCGCATCATAGCACTCTCACTGCCTTTCTGTCATGATGTGAAGTGGCAGAGTGTTATTACTGAATGTCATGTGAAAATAATCATGATGGTTTTTACTTTTTGTAGTTTAAGCATTTCAGTTGACAGGGATATTTACATATTTGAATAAAATATTCAGGTCCTTTGCCTTCATGCATATTTAATATATCTTAATTTAAAATTATGTTTAAGTAAATGATTTTTATAATGAATGATAATTTTAATCATAGTTCCTAAGAAGCCAGAATCTACTGATGATGAAGAAAAAATTGGAAATGAAGAGAGTGATTTAGAAGAAGCATGCATTTTGCCTCACAGTCCTATAAATGTGGACAAAAGACCCATTACAATTAAATCACCTAAGGTGAAGTATTTTCTGTGATTTTGAGGCTGGCTGAATAGAAACAAAGCACATAGCAAAGGAACCCATAGTATTGTCACTTTGTCCTTGATTATAGGATAGAGAGTGTAGTGGGTTACTGAAAGTATGGGTGACATTCCAAGTCACACTTAACGCACTTGATTTATGGTGTCCTGGTCAGATTGATAGCTGGAAAAATGTTCCCTTTTATGTTTAGTGGTACATTGTATCATTATTCATTTACCATTCATTCATTGAATATATGTATACTTTGCTCCAGAAACTGTCCTGGTGTCTTAGGCTATTAATGTGGATGATAATTTAACTTTGTATGCCATGTTTGTCTGTTCCAAGGTACATAAGTATAAGAGATTATAAATTCATTTATAAGCCTATTTATGGCATAGCTATTTTTGCCATAAATTATTCACTAAACTTAAAGTATTGTACCAATTTCAACATATTTGCATTTATTTATATTTTATTTGAATAAGTGTTTTAGAGTGTGTATTAATATCAATAAGGTAAACTAATGGTGAAAATGGTTTTCCTTTGTCAGGATAAATGGCAGCCACTGTTGAGTACGGTTACAGGTGTTCACAAATACAAATGGTTGAAGCAGAATGTTCAGGGTCTTTATCCACAGTCTGCACTCCTCAGCACAATTGCTGAATTTGCCCTTAAGGAAGAGCCAGTGGATGTGGAAAAAATGAGAAAGTGCCTATTAAAACAGGTAAAATTTGCTAAGAACGTTCTTCTCTGCATAGGATAATATACACAACACTTAACTGTATGCATTCATATTTTGCAGTTGGAGAGAGCAGAGGTTCGTCTGGAAGGGATAGATACAATTTTAAAACTGGCAACCAAAAATTTCTTACTTCCATCTGTACAGTATGCTATGTTCTGTGGATGGCAAAGACTTATTCCTGAGGGGATTGATAAAGGGTAAAACTTCATAACATTTGTTTCTTAATTAGGGAAACTGTGGCAACAAAGCATTATTCGATTGAGGTTGAAAGTCTGGCAGTATTCTAAGTAATATTCTTCAACTTTGTTTAAAAGGGAACCTCTTACAGATTGTTTAAAGGATGTTGATTTGATCCCACCTTTTAATCGGATGCTACTGGAAGTAACTTTTGGCAAGCTGTATGCTTGGGCTGTTCAGAATATTCGAAATGTTTTGATGGATGCAAATGCCAAATTTAAAGAGCTTGGTGAGTTAAAAAAAAATGTTTAAAAGGCTGTATTAAGATTGCTGTTGAAGTAATGTCAGTGATCACATTAGCATTATTTTATAGTTTGGCTCTTAATTATATGTTGTAGAAACTTGCAAATGCTGATTTTTGCTCTTTGAGAAGACTTTAATAACTTTGTACATTAGAATAATCTTTAAAAAAAATTTTTATTTAAGTTCAATTTAGTTAATATATAGTATATTCGTTTCAGGGGTACATTAGAATAATATTTTAAGCTGCTTTAAGCTTTCTCAAATTTTAAACAAAACTTTCAAAATTCAGCAGAAGACACAATTTTGTAGTATTGTGATATTAAGCTTTTACATTTTAACATTTTCATGTGTATCATTGATACCATATGCCCTAAATTATATATCCTATATTAATACTTAATTTCTTGGATAGTTTGAGTACCTGCAGAGAAATGCTAGGATTGGTCTTGTGGAAGAGAAGTGAAATATGACTGCTGTATTTGAAATGAAATGAGTAAGCCATCAGGGACATTTAGAGGAGCAGTGTGATAAGTTTTGCAGACAATTGGAAATGGCTATATGTGGATTGATGGTGGTAGGATTATTGCGAAGTAATGCACAGCTGCCTGATGTCCATACACTTTGGAAACCCACTGAAAAAGAGAAATTTTTAAAAATTGCTACTGCTTTTTGCATCATGTATGTTTTTATATCTACACACAAGAAATTTATGTGGGTGCCAATGCTTTTTAGGTATCCAGCCTGTCCCCCTACAAACCATTACCAATGAGAATCCTTCAGGACCAAGCCTGGGGACGACCCCACAAGCTCGCTTTCTCCTGGTCATGCTCAGTATGCTCACCCTGCAGCATGGTGCAAACAACCTGAACCTCCTGCTGAACTCCGGCACACTCGCCCTCACACAGACAGCACTTCGGCTTATTGGTAGGTTGGCACTGCCTTAAGTCATTCATGAAAATGTCAGGATTTTGCCTTCATGTCTTCTTTCTCTCTCTTTGTGAACTTTTTTTTAATTGTAAAATACAAATAACATAAAATTTACCTTTTTAACAACTTTATCATTCAGTAGCATTAAGCACATCCATAATGTTGTACAAACATTACTACTATCTAGTTCCCTAACTTTTTTGTCACTCCAAATGGAAAGCCATACCCATTTAGTGGTTGATTCCTGATTTCCCACTCACCCAGCTTTTGGCAACAACAAATCTGCTTTTTATCTCTGGATTTTCCTGTTCTGGATATTTCATATAAATAAAATACAATTTTTAGCCTTTTGTATCTGGCTTATTTCACTTAGCATGTATCAGTACTTCATTCCTTTTTATGGCTAAAAAACATTATACTGTATGCATATACTACATTTTATTTAACCTTTCGCCCATAGTTGGACATTTGGCTTGTTTCTATCTTTTGGCCATTGTGAGTAGTGCTGCTAGGAACATTTGTGTACAAGTTTTTGTTTGAACACCTGTTTCTAATTCTTTAGTTATATATCTAGGAGTGGAAGTGCACAGTCATATGGTAATCCTATGTTTAGCATGCTAAGGACCACCAATCTTTTCCATAGCACTGCAACATTTTCCATTTCCCCCAGCAATGGAAAAGGGTTCCAGTTTCTCTCCTCCTCACCAATACCAGTTATTTTCCTTTTCGGGGATGTTGGGCGGGGGTGGAGGGGGGGTAGATTGTGGTCATCCCAGTTGGTGTGAAGTGGTTTCTCATTGTGGTTTAATGTACATTTTGCTAATGTAAGGACATTGAACATCTTGACACGTGCTTGTTGGCCATCTGTATATCTTTCAGAGAAATTTCTTCAAAACCTTTGCCCATTTTTAAATTAGGTTATTTGTCTTCATGTTGTTGACTTGTAGGAGTCCTTTACATATTCTGGATACTAGACCATTATCAATTACCTGATTTGAAGATATTTCCTCCCATTCTGTGGGTTGTGTTTTACTTTGATGCACAGAAGTTTTAAATTTTGGTGAAGTCCAATTTATCTATTTTTCTTTTGTTGCTTGTGCTTTTGATGTCATGTTCAAGAAATCATTGCCAAACCCAGGTCACAAGGATTGCTCACTGCGTTTTCTTTTTTTAAGTTTATAGTCTTAGTTCTTGTAGTCTTTAGTCCATTTCTAGGCAATTTTTAATATGGTGTGAGGTAAGGACTCCTTTTGTTTCTTTTGGTTATCCAGTTGTCCTAGTACCATTTGTTGAAAAGACTCTTCTTTTCCCAAGGTCTTGGCCCTTTGTCAAAAATCATTTGACTATAAATTTTTTGATTTATTTCTAGACTTTCTATTTTGTTGGTCTGTCATTATGCCAGTACCACATTGTTGTGAACACTAGCTTTGTGGTAAGTTTTAAAATCAAAAAGTGAGTTTTCCAACTTTGTTTTTTTCCTCAAGATTATTTTGGCTATTTTGGGTCCTTAGGATTTCTATATGAATTTCAGGGCTGGATTTTCCATGTCTGCAAAAAATAGCTGTTGGGATTTCCTAGAGGTTGTATTGACTCTGTAGATTGTGTTGGGGAGTATTGCTATCTTAACAGATATTAAGTCTTTCTTTCCATGAATGTGTGATGGCTTTATATTTATTTAGGTCTTCTTTCATTTCTTTGAGCAGTATTTTATAGTTTTATTGTTAATCAGGGTAATGCTGGCCTCATAGAGTGAGAAAGTGTTGCCTTCTATTCTATTTTTGGAAGAGTTAGAGAATTGGTATTAATTTTTCTTTAAATGTTTGGTAGAATTCACCAGTTAAGCCATTTGGTTCTGGATTTTTCTTTGTTGGGAGGTTTGATTATTGATTCAATATCTTTACTTCTTATAGGTCTATGCGCATTTTCTGTTTCTTCTTGAGTCAGTTCAGATAATTTGTGTTTCTAAGAATTTATCCATTTCATCTAGGTTAGCTAATGTGTTAGTGTATAGTTGTTCATAGTACTTTGTTATAGTTCTTTTTATCTCTGTAGAATCAGTAGTAGTGTCCCCAGTTTCATTTCTGGTTTTAGTTATTGGCATCATCTCTTTTTTTCTTAGTTAATCTACTTAAAGTTTGTCAATTTTGTTGATATTTTCCAAGAAACCAACTTTTGGTTTTGTTGATTCTGTTGTTGTTGTTTTTAATTCTCTATCTCTGCTCTAGTCTTTATTATTTCTTTCTTCCTACTAACTTTGGGTTTATTGTAGTCTTATTTTTCTAGTTCCTCCAGGTATAAAGTTAAGTTACTGATTTGAGATTTTTCTTCTTTTTTTAATGTATGCATTTATAGATAGAAATTTCCACCTTAGCACTGCGTTTTTTGCATTCCATAAGTTTTGGTATGTTGTGCTTTTGTTTTCATTTGTCTCAAAGTATTTAAAAATTTCTCTTGTGATTTTTTTTTTTTCCCTTTGGGTGATTAAGTGTATGTAATTTAATTTCCATATACTTGTGAAATTTCTAGTTTTCCTTCTGTTATTAATTTCTAGTTTCATTCTGTTGTCAGAGAACATAATTTGTATGATTATACTCTATTTCAATTTATTGAGACTTGTTTTATGGTCTAGCATGTGATCTATCCTGGAGAATGTTTCATGTACCCTTGAGAAGATTGTGTATCCTCCTCTTTTTGGGTTCTGTGTATATATGTCTGTTAGATCTGATTGGTTTATGATGTTCTTTGCCTGAAATCTTGAGATACTGCAAGGCTAGTGTTCAAGTCCAAGCAAAAAAGCAAGGCTTTCCTAAGCTCTTTGATCTTGTCAATCTTTGTGTCCACATGACCCATTCAAAAATATGCATCAGGCTAGAAAACAGTCAGCCTCTGTGAGTCAGACATCTGATTTCTTAAGACCTCATTAACGATTAAAAAATGCTTTAAAAAAAAAAACCTCAAAAATGTGTTTCCATCTAGAAATTGCCTCTCTTTTTATGTCATCTCCCTCTTTTTCCCAGAGAATCCAGTAGGTAAAAGTCATAGCACAAATCATTAATTATGGGGGCTTTTGTTTAGAGTTTAAATTTGAACCTGCCTACTGGCTGCAGAAAGCAATGGAATCTTGTCCCATGAATACATATCTGTATTTACCGCTTTCCTTGATCAGGGTTATTTTTCTTTCATATAAGAAATCATAAGCATATAATATTTTATATTAATTTTATGTATGCATCCAGCTACAAGAGCCACAAAATACAAAGCCACTTGAAAAAAAGATCCCCTTTTTTCTTATTGCAAATGTATTCAAATCCTTTGCAGTAAATTTGGCATTTGCAGGGTTAACATTATAGCTGCCAGGGGAGATCCTAGCTGGAATGCAATCCCTGCCCTTCTTAGGGCCTCACTGAGGCACCACTGGGTTGGGCTGAAGAAAAGAATATTTTTTGCCCCAGTAAAACTGGGGAAAAGCTTTACTTTATCTAAAGCTTTGCTCCAGCCCTGGGAATTGAATAACCTTTTTTTTCTCCGTTTTGGAGGAGAGAGGATCATGAACTTTGTACATTTTTGACCCACCCAGGTCTACCTTTGGGAATGTTTGGGCACCTTTTCCTCCCCCTTGGAAGAGCAAACAAAGACTGAAGGAGTTACTAGGGCTGTGCTTTTTTCCCCCTCACATTAGCCAGCAAGGCCAAAAGCAGCCAAAGGGATCCAGCATGCTGACTCATAGGGTTAAATTTTACTATTTTAAAATCCGTTTCTAAATTTTACTTTTTTTTTTTTAAAGTTTTTATTTATTTTAGAGAGAGAGAGAGAGTGAGAAAGAGCATGAGAGGGGAGACGGTCAGAGGGTGAAGCAGACTCCCCATTGAGCAGGGAGCCCGATGCGGGACTTGGTCCCGGGACTCCAGGATCATGACCTGAGCCGAAGGCAGTAGCTTAACGAACTGAGCCACCCAGGCGCCCTAAATTTTACTTCTTGTAGCTGATAGCTCAACTTCTGTTTTATACTATGGATGATATCGCAGCAATTGGGGACCAAATATTCATCGTGCTCCACCCCTTCATTCTTCCTTTTACCAAACAGTCCTTTTGCAATATTTCAGCAAGTAAGGGTTGTTCTAGAGAATCCCACTGCTGCCATTCCTGTGCCAGGGTCCCTAAGACCACTCCCAGATTCAGTAATTTGTGAGGAGGCCTCACCAGACTTGGTATATAGTTACACTGAGGGCTTTCACTACAGTGAAAGACGAGAAAGCAAAATCACTGAAGGGAAGGGCACATGGGAAATGTCTGGGAGAAACTGACATGAATCCTCTCCCAGTGGAGTCACACAGGATGAACTTAATTCTCTCAGCAAAGAATTGTGACTACATGTGTGAAATGTTGTCTACCTGGAAAGTTCAGAGAGTTTGCACTGGGGCCTGGCACATATACAAGTTCTAGACCCCCAGAAGGAAGCAGGTTTCAGCAGAGACCACATTGTGCAAACAGTTCAGGCACAGTTAGGGAAGGGTGGGAGCCCTCCTGAAATCCAGGTTCCCAGACACCAGCTGAGGGCTGCCTTGCAAGTAGCCCTTCGTAAGGACAGCAGTATCAGGCCTGCTGTTCTTATCTCTTTTCTGCATGGTACCATAATTAAAGTTGGTTAGTTTCTCATTGTTAGACATTTATTTGGTTATCTTTTGTTTTTCTATTCTAATAAGAATATGTGATGAGTGTTTTTCTAACTTAATCATTTTGCTTTTTTTTGGAGAGGGGCATAATTCCTAGAAGTAGAGTAAATGTCTCTGTTGCTTGTTTTATATCTTTTATATCTTCTGATACATATTTCTATACTTGGTTCTCCATTTGCCATTTTAAATTTTCATCAATAAATCTTCCATGGTATTTATTGTATTGAAAAAATAATACAGTATACACTATAGAATCTTCAAAATTATCTTCATCAGTACTTACTAAGTTTTGAAAAAGTGTATTAAGATTAGGAAGTTGTAACTACTTATTAGTTCAGCTGCTGTGTTTGATGCTCTGATAGGTCCTAGTTGTGATAATGTTGAAGAGGATATGAATGCTTCTGCCCGAGGAGCTTCTGCTACAGTTTTGGAAGAGACAAGGAAGGAAACGGCTCCGGTGCAGCTTCCAGTTTCAGGGCCAGAACTGGCTGCCATGATGAAGATTGGAACCAGGGTCATGAGAGGTGTTGATTGGAAATGGGGTGATCAGGTACTTAGATTTGATTTTGAAACACATTAGCCACACATTAGTTACCATCCTTACTTGCATGTTATTAGTGGGTGGAAATTGGAATAAATAACTACCTTAACTTAGGGCCTATGCAATTGACAGATGATGTATTGGTGATGTAGTTAGTTCCTGGGCAGGTGAATGGAGTCAAAACAAGTAGAAACAGTGGGTGTAGGGACATCTCAAGTAGGATCAGGTCTTCAAAGGGTGACAGCTGTTTTCAGAAAACTCCTTGGCATGGGCTCAATTTGAGGGGCAGCCCAGAGCAGGAGCAAGAGTAAACAGGAGAGAGCAAACCGCATCTTAGTAATAGTGTTCTGAAAGCTGTGAGGCAGGAAAACCCAGGTGCTGCCTCTAGGAGTTGATGGCCATGTGCCCATTAAGTGCCCCAGCCTTGCAGTTTTAGGTGTGCCAGTTGGGCAGTGGCCATTTCTGTTTCTCCTTGTAGCACATCACTCCCAAGCTTCTGTCAGGGCTCACCAGGTAGAGATCGTGGGGGCTGGTATCTGTGTCATTACTGTAGTCACTAGCGAAGGACAGTGCTCACCTTCCTGCAGTGTGGTAGTATTCTTGTCATCTCTAGGTTTTCTCAACCTCATTTTTAAGCATGGGCCTCATCAGAATCATCTCAGAAGTGTCCTGGAACAGGTAGCAGCATCCTGAAAACAGCTTTCACTCATAGTGTCCTGGAATAGAAAGCAGCATCCAAAAACAGCTTTCACTCATAGAAATGAGAGACGGAGTTTCCACTTTAGGTTCTATGGGAAAACTGAAGAATAAGAGGAATAAGAGGAAATGAGGAGATGCAGGTGCTTGTTTCAGGTTTCAGGTCTTTTGAAGCCCTGTGGGAGATTAAAGGAGCCAAGGAACAGGGCACCAAGACTGGACTGGGGAAAGCCTCATCTCTGCATTGGTTTAGGGAGGATGCTGCTTGAGATGATGCTTTTCCCACTTAACTCTTTGGTAAAGGAGCATAAGGAAGTTATTTCCTGATGTTTGATTTAAGGTAATGATGTGTGAGCTGTGCATGTCGCAGGTGGGTTTGGAGCAGTCTGTGGGCACAAAGTCTGTGCAGAGTAACATAGCAGTCCTTACAGGCTTCATCTGTGTGACAGAACAGGCATACACCCTCTTAACTAATCTTTGTTTTGGCTTCCTCAGGATGGACCTCCTCCTGGTCTTGGCCGTGTGATTGGTGAACTGGGAGAGGACGGATGGATCAGGGTCCAGTGGGACACGGGCAGCACCAACTCCTACAGGATGGGGAAGGAGGGGAAGTATGACCTCAAGTTGGCAGAGCTGCCAGCCTCCACACAGCCCTCAGCAGAGGACTCGGACACAGAGGATGACTCTGGTCGGTGCCTTGGGGCTGTTTAGTCTGGGGCAACCTGGCAAGCTGTGTGCTAATGGCAGCTGGCCATCCTTTTCATCTGGGAATGAGAACAGTGTCAGGACTCAGCTGTGGACTGTGGTCTGTAGTTTTGGACTTGCCCCTGAAGGTTCAGTGTAAATAAGCTCCAGGTGATTCTTATGCAGGAATTAAAAGCATGGCTCTGGTAACTGGCAACCTAGCTGGATTTGACTCTCTTGCTCCCTTTGGCGACAGTGCAGTAGGGTTTGGCAGTGCAGGGCTTGCTCTGTCTTTACCTCTGGTGGACCTTCTTGGTTGGCTCTGAGCCTGTGTGTGAGGTAGTGAGCCAGTGCCTGGTGGACTAGGAATAATGTGGATTAGTCACTACTGTGTTGCCTTAAAGAAACCAGAGGTGAGAATTTGGAGTGAACCCAGAAAGTTAAATCCTATCTAAGGAGATCCAAGGTTGTGGGAGGAGGACTTCATGACATTTTTAGATGTGTCCAACAGACATTGGGATGTATGAGTGAAGCTTCCCACAGCTGGTCTCGGTGAGACTGTCCAGGAGGCCAGGGCTGATTCTTGGGGCTCAGGTGATGGCTGTATGCGCTGCATGGTCAGGCTTTGGAAGTGGTTTGTATGGTCAGGCGAGGAAACCTGAGAGGCTGAGCTCAGTAGAGAATGGGTGGTATGGAGAGTGGAAAAGGTTGTGTTCCATCCATGTCACTTGTGAGGGTCCAGGCCCCCTCAGATGTGAACAGATGATGTCTGCTTTTTGGGGCTGTTGGGAGTACCATATGTGAAACCTGGAGTCGCACATAGATGGTCAGGGCTGGTTTTGTTTTCACTCAGGGAAGTCAGGGCAAGAACTGTGGCTCTGCTGTTAACATGCCTCCTTGTCAGAAAGTCAGTGCCTTGGACACATGAGCCTCTGGTTCCCCTTCATGGCACAGGCACTTCCATCTTCATCCAAGGCATAGTTAGCTTGTCAGCAAGCAGCTCTTGACATTTGGAAAGTTGTCTTTCTAAAAGAGTAAATCCTTGAGATTGTTTTAGTGCTTCTGAGCTATGTGCAGAGATTGTTTTAAAAAAGTAAACTGTAATTTAGAAGGCTTATTTTCTTTGAGGAAAGTGGGGACAGAGGTGATTAGGATGTTTAGTGCATTCTAATTCCATCTTTTCTTATAAAGAGCTATTTTCCTTTCCACAGTAAAAATTGTGATATGAAATTCCTTAAAAGACTGGGTTATTAAAATCCCTTAAATTACACGCAGGGACATTTTCCACTTCTATTTGGAAGTATAGGTTCTTATTTTGATACTTTTTTCCAGAAGCTGAACAAATTGAAAGGAACATTCATCCCACTGCAATGATGCTTACCAGTACTGTTAATTTATTGCAAACTCTTTGTCTCTCTGCTGGAGTCCACGCTGAAATCATGCAGAGTGAAGCCACCAAGACCCTGTGTGGACTGCTGCGAATGTTAGTGGAAAGTGGAACGACGGACAAGACATGTATGCAATGAATAGTTGTGGGCCTACAGAGTACTGGGGCTATGAATTTGGTGTGTGTGTGTCTGGGTGTGTGTATGTGTATGAGTCTGCATGTGTATTAGTGTCCTAGGGCAGCCAGAACAACTTACTGCAAATTTGGTTGGTTTGCCTGGGCTGCCACACGAAACTACCATACACCTGGGTGGCCTAAGTTTTTTTCCTCCCTGTTCTGGAGGCTAGCAGTTCAAGATCAGGGTGTCAGCAGGGCTGGTTCCTTCTGAGAGCTGTGAGGGAAGGATCTGTTCCAGGCCTCTCCCCTAACTTGGGGTAGTTTGCTGGCAGTCTTTGCCATTCCTTTGTTGTAGATTATTGCCCTCATCTTCACTTGTGTGTCTCCAAATCTCACCTTTTTATAAGGACACTAGTCATAATTGGATTAGGGACCCACCCTTGTCTAGTTTAACCTCTTCTAAACAGATTACATCTTCCATGGCCTCATTTCCAAATAAGTCACATTCTGAGATGCAAGGGGTTAGGACTTCAACATACTGCTTTTGGGAGGGGGAGGACATAGTTCAGCCCATAACAGTTATGGAACCTCACATTTTTGGAGACCAGAAGTCCAAAATCAAGGTTTTGGCAGGGCTGTGTTCCCTGCAGAGACTTCAGGAGAGGATCCTTTCTTGTCTATTCCAGCTTCTGGTAGCTCCAGGCTGTCTTGGCTTGAGGCCACAGCACTCCAGGCTCTGCCTCATTTTCACACAAAGGACTGCCATGTGTCTCTTTGTGTCCTTTTCTGCCTCTTATAAAGACGTTCATTGGATTTAAGGTCCACCCTGACTCAGTACAGTGTCATCTCAATCCTTACCTTAAGTCCATCTGCAAAGAATTTATTTCCAAATAAGGTCACATTCTGAGGTTTTTGGGTGAACACGAATTCTGAGGGATACAGTTCAACCCATTGAAACGTTTGTATGTGAATGTGGATGTGTTTAAGTGTGGAGAGAATGAGTTGATGAAGTGGGAGGAGTGAGTGTGTGTGTAAGTGTGAGAGTGTTTGTATGTGAATGAGTCGGTGTGAGTGTGCGAAGAGTTGTCGCTGAGACTACGGGTGTGAGCATAAAGTGGAAGTAAGTGTGAATGTGTATGAGTAGCTGGGTGTGTTTATGAGTAATTATGAGTGATTATGTGTGAATATATCAGTGACTATGAGAATGAGCATGTGTGACTGTGGTAAGGTGTGACTGTGCGAAAGTCAATGTGTTTGTGAGTGTGAGTGTGATTGAGTGCAGGCATTAACATGTGTCTGAAGGCTGTGCCCCTGGGAGCCTGGAGAGCAGGAGAGCTGGGCCCTGGCAGGCGGTCCTCTGCCAGGAAAGAGTGGAAGCCCCGGGGTGCCCATGAGCGGAGACCTGGAAGCCAGGAGGAGCAGACAGGGTCAGTTGCGTCAGTCAAATTGGATAAACCTCACGAAAGCCTCCTAGTCTTGTTCTATTAATGCAGACTTCTTAAACTTGGATTGGAAATTTGTGGTACAGATTAAATGTAAACAAGATCATGGGAGATATTTAAAACACATGAGGTTATAAAAAATATACAAGATGCACTCTTACTAGTAACTGCTATTTGAAAAGTGAGTCATTTTCTTACTGTCTAGAAATAGTAAGTACATGAAACTTCTTAACTGGTTTGAGTTACTCATATACTTGAGAGGTTTTAAGAGTGTTATAAAGTGTTCCTTGAGCTAACTGCAGGGTCTTCTCCCACTGCTCTCACTTTGAATGAGTGAAATTGTAATATATTTGTAAAGTGGGTTATTTTTGAAAATAATATGGTAGGTAAATTAAAAGTGTAGATTGTACTGAGTATTTATTTCTAGAAATTTGGTGCCAAGCTAGTTTGTTTCACTCTGGCAGCATCCCCAAACAGGCTGGTGTGCCGGGAGCAGCACCGGAGCTGGTGCACGCTGGGCTTCGTGCGGAGCATCGCGCTCACGCCACACATGTGTGCTGCCCTCAGCTCCCCACAGTGGATTGCCCTGCTCATGAAGGTCGTGGAGGGACATGCACCTTTCACCGCCGCCTCCCTGCAGCGGCAGGTAATTGTGCTGCTGGGCTGATCCTGCTCAGTGTGAGTTTTGGGACTGTATGACCCCCTTAAGAGGTGGCATCAAGATACCAGTGCTCCTAGTCATTATAATTAGGTGCCTGTACTCAATAATGAGTGCAGAAAAGAACTGGAACCAACCCAAAGTAGATTTTCTAGTGCAAGGGGCCGAAGTTTTTGATTATTTTAAATTGATTAAATTGCTAAACTGTAGTTGAGTTGCTTGTCTTTGAAGTGATAAGTCCTACCATCTGCTCTTATGGGCTTCATAGGAGTTGTAGTGTAATTCTCTTTAGAAGAACTAAGCTGAAAAGAATTACTTTTTAATGAAATAAATACCCGCATCTGTAATGTACCTTTTTATAACCCCTGATAATCTATATCTTTAATTAACTTGGGTGTAATTATCTGGTTGTAAAACAATGAATATCTGAATTTTCACATAATTAATTGCATTATAGGAACAAAAAAAAAGTAAAAATCTGTTATTTCTTAAGCTAAAATCACAGTGGTTTTCTTTAACGTTTGCCATTTTAAATTGTCTTTTATCAGATATTAGCTGTGCATTTACTGCAAGCAGTGCTTCCATCCTGGGACAAAACCGAAAGGGCAAGGGATATGAAATGCCTTGTGGAAAAGCTGTTTGGTTTCCTGGGCAGCTTGCTCACCACCTGTTCTTCAGATATCCTATTCCTCAGAGGTGGGCAGCTCTCCTTATTTGTGTCCTGGTTAAGTGAGCAGGGCACCATGTAGCTCCTCTCTCATACGTCTATTTCAGAATCTACTCTGAGGCGGCGGAGGGCACGCCCGCAGGCCTCCCTGACCGCCACCCATAGCAGCACCCTGGCAGAAGAGGTGGTGGCGCTGCTCCGCACACTTCACTCCTTGGGTCAGTGGAATGGACTCATAAACAAGTACATCAACTCTCAGCTCCATTCCGTCACCCGCAGCTGCACAGGAAAGCCGTCAGAGGGGGTGGGTGCTGTGTTTTCAGATCTGATCATTTTTTTCTGTAAAATGTCGGTTTAAATTTTAAGTTTTCTTTTTAAGTGACATGTATTTTGTTTAAAGATATTTTAAAATATATTTTACTAGAAATAACTATTGAAGAAACTAGTATAAAAATGAACTTGGCTTAGCTGTAAATGTGTAAGAAACAGGCAGCACCCTGGGCTCTCTTCTTCAAGCTGGCTATTTGTCTGCATTAGGCCCTGTTAGAGGACTACTTTCCTGATTCTGAAAACCCTGAGGTGGGGGGCCTCATGGCAGTCCTGGCTGTGATCGGAGGCATCGATGGTCGCCTGCGCCTCGGGGGACAAGTCATGCACGATGAGTTTGGAGAAGGCACGGTGACTCGCATCACCCCGAAGGGCAGAATCACTGTACAGTTCTCAGACATGAGGATGTGTCGTGTTTGCCCATTGAATCAGCTGAAACCAGTAGGTGAACTTGTGTTCAGTTACTTGGTAATAAGGCAGAGGAGTTTTATACTAGAACTGGGTTCTAACATCAGTGCTGGAATGAACTTGATTTTCATAGTTCATGTCTGCTATCTAGGAAGCTATGCAACTTGTGGAAAGCCATCTATCTATCTTCTCTTGTTCGCTTTGTGCCCCTTTGATAAATAAGGCCTATCTCATGCTGTTACATGGATTAGTAGTTCATGTCTTATTTTAGCCGCGAAAGACATAAAAGGGCATTAGCAACACAGAAGGTACTTGTAACTATGTTTGTTAGTTTTAATTATCTTAAAATGCAAATTTTGAAGTTTATTTTTTATTGAACAACTCAACTTTTAAAGAAACCTAAAGATGATTACTTAAAAAATGACCTTTCTTCATGTAGAAAATGCTTCTTAATTGTGTTGAGTGACTTAACTTATGTACTAGCAGCTACTTTCATCTTAAATCTGTGAATTAGGGATGTACAGGGAAAGTGAGTGATGTATATTACTTCAGTGTGACCTAAGTGTAATCAGACTATCTTCCTGTAAAATACTGTTTTTGATTATTACAGAAATGAAGGTATGCATGTTGTAGAAAATTTGAAACGGATAGAAAATGCCTAAGAATATAATAATGCCACCCTGATGTAATTATTGTTGGCAAGTTGTAAAAGAAAAAATCAATTTAGGTTATGTTTACTTACATCTCTATTTTGCCTTTAATGTCATCTCTTAAAGTGATTATTTTTAGATATAAGAAGACTTACGGATATATGTGATAATTTCAGAATTAAGATTCATGGTTATGATCATTTTCAGAACATTTCATTTGCTCATTTCATTGGACAGACTTTGAAGGTTTCTGTGTTCTTGCTTTAGCTCCCTGCCGTGGCATTCAGTGTCACCAACCTGCCCTTCACAGAGCCGATGCTGTCTGTCTGGGCTCAATTGGTAAACCTCGCTGGAAGCAAATTGGAAAAGCATAAAGTAAAGAAATCACCTAAACAGGGTTTTGCAGGTCAGTACATGGTGCTTCTTGATGGAACAGCTACAGTCTTAACTGGCATTGTTAGGACAATGTTTGTCATTTTGTCAGAGCAAGTTCCTGCCACTGCCAAAGTCTTTAGGTTCCAGTGGATTGACCATTTGTTAAGTTACTGTGGCCATGAAACCTTGAATGTGGTAATAAGAGTGTGTAATACAAAGAATGACAGCATGGTGGGAGCAGCCCCTGAAGAGCCCCAGGCTTCCCCTCAAGCCTGTTTTCCAGTGCCAGCATGTATTCTGAACAAGCTTTTTGAAGAGGAATCTGTATTCTCTCTCCCTCCCTGTTAACCCCGCAGCCATAGCCCTGTGGCCCAATTGCCCTTTAGGAGCTTTGCTCTTGGCCTCATCATCACCAGACCCAGTAAGGTCTGCATGTTTTGGACCTGCCTTACTTCATATCTGTGGACGTTGGGCTAAGACCAAGGTCACCTGTGCCTTCCTTCCTTTGGTCTGAAATAGTGCTCCCTTAATTTTCCTTACACTGCCCCTTGCATGTTCTTTGAGAGTTTTTCTTCCTGACTATTCCTTGCACATTGGAAATTCTTACGGTTTTCTCCGTAACTTCTGGCTCGTTGTGCCCACTCTTACTGAGTTTTCTCACCCATTTCTCCCTATTCCTGTGATTGCTGCTGCAGCATTTATGATAGTGAGCACCTTTAACTCTGGATATCCAGCTCACATCTCTGGCTGGAGGGCCACGTGCATGTACACCACAGCATGTTCAGAATTCCACTAACCTTGTCCTTTGGTCCCCATTTCCATCACAGTGAATAAACCTGTTTGCCAGGCAGTCAGGCTTGATGCTGCTCCATCCTGTTCCATCTCACATTGCTATGCTGCCTTCCATGGCCTCCAGCGTGTCCTGCCTTGGAACACTGTTGCCACCACTATAGTCCAGCTGTTCTTGTGGTCTGCCTGAATCTTTGTGGCAGCTATCTTCGTTTCCTCCTTAGTCGGCTGTCAGGCCCCACTGCAGTCATTTGTTTAGATAAGACTCCAGGGAGTGCCATGATCTTGTTGAATTAGAGAACTGTATGTTGTGAGTATCCAACAAAACTGTCTTGGAGGAGTCTTGGCAAGAAAAGGTGAAACTATTTTGTTTGTGACGTAGGTATCTAGTTGAAATTTCAGCAATGTGGGAAACGTTTGATTATACTAATAATAACTAACATGGATCTAACTGTGTTAAACCATTTAATTCTCACCCTAACCCATGAAAGTAGCTACAAGGGGAGCAGGAAATGGGGAAGACCTGGGGGAGATAGAGGATGCTTATCCAGAAGCACTAGCCAAAACACTGGGAAAGACAAGTCCTTCATTACTGACAGTATTTGGCATGGCCAGATAATTCCCACAGGGCAGGGCATTGTTTATGCCACTTTGCAGCCATGGCACTTTGGTTTGGGAAGCAGAACACCTTCCCCAAGGCCATACAGCTGGTGAGAAGAGCCCAAGCAGGGTGTGTCATTCCCGCTGAGTCCTTTTCTCCCACAGGACAAGTAGACCTGGATCTGCTGAGGTGCCAGCAGTTAAAACTGTACATCCTGAAGGCAGGCCGTGCACTGCTTTCCCACCAGGACCAGCTCAGGCAGATCTTGTCTCAGCCAGCTGTTCAGGAAGTCACAGCTGCTCATACAGGTACCTTTTAAAGGAAGCTCTTATAGATCTGTAAGGAATGCAGGTGCTCCCATAGAAAACAGGCAAAAGACATGAATAAATAGTCCGTAAAAGGGGAAACAGATGGCTTCTAAATATATGAGAGAGATGTGCAACCTGGCCAATAATTGATGAAGTGCAAATGACAGTGTCGTCTTATAAGACAAAAGATTGAGGGGATCTGGTGGGAAGGGAGGAAAAACAGTGCTCTCCTGTTTTGTTATTTAAAGTGTGGCCCATGGACCAGCAGCATTGATGGCACATAGGACCATGTTAGACACACAGACTCTCAGGCTGCACCCCAGACCTAAGAAATCATGGTTTGCATTTTAATAAGGCCCTCAGGGGGTTTATAAATAAAACATATAAAATATTACTGCTTTAACACATTGTTAGTGGGAATTTAAGTTGGTACAACCACCTAATGGGCATTTGAGGAAATGTTATCCTTTAAAATGTATATACACACACACACATACACAGCTATTATCTGTATCTCTCTGTTCTCTATATCTCTCCATTGACTTCTGAGTCATCTTTTGGGAATTTATCACATGAAAAGGCATGAAGATAAGTGTTTACAGAGGCTCGTTATGGCTTCTTTGATGGTACTGTTTTTAGGTTGAAAACTGGAGACACCTAAATGCCCATTATTGGGTGGTGTATCTACACAGTGGAATACCATGGCATCATTCACAATGATGATACATATATATGTTCATAGCCATGGGAACATGAAAATGATAAAATAAATAAAACACATTGCTATGTATATCTCTTTGTAGATATGCCATAGATTCATCTGCTTACTATACTTTGACAGTGGAATTTCAGCTGCCTTTATTTTCTTTATACTTTCCTATATTCAGTTTTCTCGAATAGCCTTATATCACTTAGAATAGGAAAAACCCCCAACGTTATAAAATATTTTTTTGATCATCTACTATTAAAAGACATGTGCTAAAGTATTATTGGGAGCAAGATAGTCCTTATTTATGATTCCAAACTCTCTGGGGTCAGAGTGAGAAGAGAAAATGAACGTAGATGGCTCTGTGCAGTGTATGATGCCAGTGCCCTGTGAAATGTGTAATTGCAGTTCCACAGGTGTCTTGGGGACATTGGTGGCTGAGGGCTGGGGAGGGCAGCTTTTGAAGGGTGTGGCAAACCCTAGGTACAGCATGATGAGGAAGCTTTGTCCTGATGGAAGAGACGGTAGGGGCACAAACATAGCAGTGAGTATATGGGTCAGTATTGAAGTGCTTCGCTTTGCAAGGAGCTCAGGGTTTATTGATGAACGTGGGCCAAAAGCTGGAGAGGTCAGCTGAATTCATGTGATAGAATGCCTTGAATACCAGGGTGAAACTTAAGGCTGACTTAGAGCTGCAGTGAGGACCCACATGGTAAGGACTGATATTCAGGATGATAAATCTTCTAGTGAGGTATAGGAGTATTTGAAAAATGAAGGCCATGGAAATGAGAGAATTGCTTTTGTGTCAAGTGATAAGGTGTCTTCTGGGGGAAGGCATGAAAAATGGAAAGAAGGTTCCAGTAGACACTGTACCAGTGTAGTCTTTTCGATAATAACTGCATGGGAAACCAGTGAAAAGTCAAAGATGGCTGATGTTTCAAGCTTGAGTTACAGGGAGGGCAGAGGGGCGTGCCTTTGACAAAAATTAGGAAATACAGTGGAGTTTGGGGTGTTTTGTTTCTTAATCTTAAGAGGGTATTGTGAATTTAATTTTAATGTGCTGAGTATAAGATAAATCTAATCAAAGTGCAGATTTATTCTGTATTAGACAGTAGGGACCTTAAAGATAATCCACAATTGTAGAAGATCAGGAAACCAGAGCCCAGGGAATTAGATTGGCTGTTCTCTGGTCACCCTGATGAGTAACTCTGGAGACACTGAATCAGGGTTACTATCCCATGTATGGGACAGAGTAGGGGCTCCAGACAGAGCTGTGTAGAGCAGGGCTTGACAAATTACCATGGCCACCAGTTTTTATAAAGTTTATGGGAACACAGCCATGCCTACTTGTTTACATGTCATCTTAGGTGGCTTTCACTCTGCAGTGGCAGAGTTGAGTAGCTGTGATAGACATGTGGCTGGTAAGTTTGAACTGTTTACTCTCCCTTCAAGAGAAAGATTTTCCAACCCCTGATCTAGAGGATTAGTTGAAGTTGTCACCAACCAGCCAGCAAACTCAAATGGTGAGTGGGCTCGAGGCAGTGGGACTCAGTGGGCCTGGGGCAAACAGGAAGTGCTAAATGCTTCACCCAAAGCTACTCAGATTAAAACAGACAAAAAGATGTTACCCTGACCACACAACATATTTGGAATTGGTGTCAATTTATGGCCTGAACAGGGTTAGCGGGAAAAGCCAGCGCTAAAAATACAAACTTGGGAGCGTCCATAGAAGGGGGGGGTTTCTGAAGCAATGAGTGTGCACCAAGAAAGAGAAGGTATAAGAATTGGACCAAAGGCAGTAATCTGAGAGGTAGCCCTTTTTTTTTTTTTTTTGGCTCTGAAGAAACACATGAACTAACAAAGGATAGATGCCAAAAAGCAGGGAGTGGAAAATTCTTTAGAGACTAGTTTTTGATATCTGAGCCTTGAAGATTTTGATAGTCCAGTGCTTGAAGATGTAGAGATCATATTCGGTTTAACATGTTTAATGCATTATCTTTAATAGTGAAGAGATGTTAGGAGTTGAAATATAATTTACTCATATTTTGTTTGTTTTTTAAATTCAGATGATGGAGCAGCTGCATCCCCTGACCTTGGGGACATGTCTCCTGAAGGGCCGCAGCCTCCAATGATCCTCTTGCAGCAGTTACTGGCCTCGGCCACCCAGCCATCTCCAGTGAAGGCCATATTTGACAAGCAGGAGCTAGAGGTACAGTAACAGCCTTGGCAATTTTAATCTGTTACATTAAATCGGGAACAATATTTTTCCTAGATGTGTGTTTTCTTAAGGATATATTCTGAATTTTAAACGATACGCCAAAGTAATTGTTATGACTAGTTAGGCTTTAACCATGTTTGTCATAGAGCATTATAATACTAGTTAGAGGATGGGTGAGTTGAAGTTTAATCTTACTGTTTTTTAAAGATTTTATTTATTTATTTATTTATTTATTTATTTATTTATTTGAGAGAGAGTCTAGAGCAAGCCAGGGGAGGTAGAGGGACAACAGACTCTGCACTGAGTACGGAGCCTGATGCAGGGCTCGATCTCACGACCCTCAGATCATGACTGAGCTGCAATCAAGAGACACTTAACCAATCGAGTCACCCAGGCATGCTGAAGTTTAACTTTATTTTGAATATGTGTGAATTATTTGAAAAAGTTAATGAGATTCAACATGGGTCAGATGCTCAAATAGTTATGGTGTAATCTTTTTCTAGGAAATATTGTTATTGAAGGAGCCCCATTAGGCCTAGGAATATTACACTGGCAGGTTTTTTCCACTCACTCCAAAGGCTTTCTTGGGCATGCCCTGTTGCTGCCAGGCTTGCAGTCCTTGCCCTGTTGCAGAGCACATGTGCTGCACAGTGTAACTTGGGGCTGGGGCTGTGGGCAAGTTCCCATAGAAGTATGACATGTGACCAGCTCTAAGAGTGATGTGGATTTTCATGGCCTGCAGCATGAAGGATTAGATGTTTCTAAAAATCCTTCTTTTGGGGCACCTGGGTAGCTTAAGTCAGTTAAGCGTCTGTCTTTGGCTCAGGTCATGATCTCGGGGGTCCTGGATCGAGCCTGCATCAGGCTCCCTGCTGAGCAGGGCATCTGCTTCTCCCTCTGCCTTTGTTTCTCCCCCTGCTCACGCTCTCTCTCAAATAAATAAATAAAATCTTTAAAAAAAAAATAAAAATCCTTCTTTCTATGTAATATGTAAAAAACTCTGGATAAAATCTCAAACACAAAAACAAAACCTTGAGTGCTCAATTTGGCAGGCGGAACATACCCTAATAGAAATCCTCAGAGACCAAGACTGTAGGGAGTTAAGGGAGTGAGGAAGCAGCTGCATCAGATTGTTGGGAGGGCTGACAGCAATCAGGTGGGAGGAAGGTGGAGTGCAAAGGGAGAAGGCAAGAAATGTTGGGCATGAGGATAGGGAGCAGTGCGGTCTGAATGCCAACTGTTTGTTAGGTCTGAAAACCACTGAGATGAGAGTTCAGGTTAAAGTGGCTATAGTGTGGCAGCGCTTCTAGTCACCTGTAGAGATAAAAAGAGGACACTGAGAGCAATTGAAGAGTGAATTGGACAGAATGCAACCTGGAATCACACTGGGAGGTGCCCAGTGTTAAGAGGAAAGTTGTAGAAGGAAATGGAGAGTTAGCCTTTAAGAATTGAGAAGGACTGTTGTAGCAAAGAGAGATCTTTTTTTTTTTTAAGATTTTATTCATTTATTTGAGAGAGAGAGTGTGAGCGAGAGAGCAGCAGAGGGAGAGGGAGAAGCAGACTGCCCACGGAGTAGGGAGCCCAATATGGGGCTCCATCCCAGGACCCTGAGATCATGATCTGAGCTGAAGGCAGCCGTTTAACCAACTGAGCCACCCAGACGCCCCATAGAGATCTTCCATTGTTTTGACTGTCTCTATTGATTCTGATGGAAATTCAACCATCATTCTTTTTTTTTTTAATTTTTATTATTTTTTAAAGATTTTATTGATTTATTTGAGACAGAGAGAGAGAGAGGGAGCAAGCACAAGTAGAGGGAAAGGGCAGAGGGAGAGGGAGAAGCAGACTCCCTGGTGAGCAGGGAGCCCGATGTGGGGCTCATCCCAGGACCCTGAGATCATGACCTGAGTGGAAGGCAAACACTTAACTGACTGAGCCACACACGAGCCCCTCAACCATCATTCTTATTGTTCTGTATGAAATGCCTTTTTCTCCCCCTTTGGCTGCATTTAATATTTCATGATTTTTTTGTTTTATTTTTCTGCAATTTGACTAAGATGTGTATGTATTTTTTAGCTCCATCTTCTTGGGGTACATTTAAGTTATGTGCATCTCTGGCTTGATATTTTTCCCCCCACCAAATTTGGAAATTTGTTAACCATTTTTTCCTGTTCTGTTCTCATTTTGTTCTTTGCTAAGAAAGATTATTAATGCATTTCTGTTTGTTTTGTAGGCCTTTCTTTTGGTTAATCAGCTTGACTAACTGTATTGATCTGTTTTCAGGGTCAGGCTGTTCTGCTTTGTTGGGTCTAAATGTGCTGTAGGCCATCTAAGAAATTCTTTGTTTTGTATTTTCAGACCTCATATTTCCATTTGGATCCTTATTTTATAGTTCTATAAAGCTCTCCTGACAGTTCTTATCTCTTCACTCTGTATTTTTTACTGTATGTATATTTAAAAAACATGTTCCTGAAAGTTATGTTAAATTTCTTGTTTGGTTATTTTACCACCTGGGCCAGCTGTCAGTCTGCTACTATTGGCAGTTTTTTTCTCTTGATTATAATCAGCTATTGGTTCTGCTTCTTCACATATCTATAGTTGTTAATGTATTCCAGAAGTTTCAGATGTTACATTGTATTGCCTCTGTGTTCTGTCAACGTTTTCTGGAGAATGTGGAATTTTATTCTCATAGATGGTTCATTACCTGACAGTTCTCCCCAGTCCTTTGGAGACTTGGTTCTAGACTTTTTTTGTTGTGGTTTATTTTTGTTTTGCAGCTAGACCTGGTTTCTGTATTCTCATTCTACAGGATTTAGAATCTTTTCTGAGGTTTCAGTGGGAGCCTCTGCACCTTGACCAACTCCATCTAACTTGGTTGGACTGGGACCTTAGACTGTCTCCCTAGCACTGGGTAGCCATAGAATCCCTCTAGCCTTCCTGCATTTCCTTTATGCTGGGTTCTTCAGGGTCTCACAAATGCTCAGTTTTGGAATCAGTCAGTAATTTGGGATAGTCTGTATGCATATTTTATGATTTCTCCCTCACTTCTCATTGCTCTGGCAGGACTGAATTCTAGCCTCTGATTGTAGTCTAATAAACACTGCCCTGTCAGCTTGCATGCTGGTTTCCCTTGTGGTCAAGGGTTGTACCTATTCCAGTTTTGATTGCTTTGGCTGTTCTCCAGGACCTTTAAACAGTTTTTGAAAATATTTCGTTCAGGGTTCATAGTTATTATTAATAGAGACTTAGTCCAGTGCACCCTAAGTCCCCATTACCAGAACTTCTAACTCAGTCTAGTTCAGAATTGTAAGCTTTTAGGATGAAGCCTGTCACTTCTGAGTTATTCACACCTCACAGCAAACCTTTGGTTTTTGACACTTCCTAAGCAAAGAAAGGCTTACGGGAGTCCTTGGTTTCTTCTTAATTTCTTCCTCACATGCTCAGTTTAAAAAAAAAAATAGCAAGTCTTAGGCCCTATGAGAATAACTGGAGATGAGGAGCAGAGAGTTTCAAGTAGTTCAGGGAAAGGGTTGTGTGTACTGGAGGTAGGGAGTCCCAACTATAGACCCCAGCAATGCATACGTTCATTGATTGATTGTAATTTGTTTCCCAGTATTTTTTATTTCCCTTATTTTTTATACCATGTTTAACTCAGAGTGGTTCTTTTACCTGTGAATCATTGAGAGCTGACTTGATGGTACATGAAAGAATCCCATGTCATCTCTGGCTTATCTTACAGAGGAAAAGAGCAAGAGACTGTGGACACTGCCTGGTCATGGGGAGGGGGTCAGGGACTCCTACCTTCCCATCCAGCTCCACTCACTCTGCATTTAACTTGCTCAGCTTGTTTCCTACTCAGAGAGGCTGTGAAGTTTTCTTTAATTACATTGATAATTGGCTAATTTACTGGGTACTGTGCATGATGAAGCAGGAGTTACTTGACCATCACATCTTTCCACTGCATTAAACTATGAAAGTTGTCTTTGTTGTTTGTTAACATATTTTATCCATTCATTTAATAATAGCACATGTAAGTCTGAGTTTCCTGTACTTTTGTACTGCATTTCATAGTGGAAGCTCGTAATTTCCATTTGCTTAGACTGCTTAAGACTCTTGACTTTTCTTAAAAAATATTTTTTATTTATTTTCTTAAAGTAGGCTCTGCACCCAAGGTGGGGCTTGAACTCACGACCCCATGATCCAGAGCTGCATGCTCTACCAATTGAGCCAGCCAGGCACCCCAGTCTCTTGACTTTTATAAACCTCCCAGCTCCACTCTCATTTGTCCAGGCTGCAGCTCTGGCTGTATGTCAGTGTTTGGCTGTGGAGTCCACTCACCCGTCAAGCCCAGTGTTTGAAGACTGCAGCTCCAGTGAGGCCACAACGCCTGTCCCTGTGCAGCATGTTCGTCCTGTCAGAGTAAAGAAGCGCAAACAGTCACCTGCCCCTGCTCTGCCTATTGTGGTTCAGCTAATGGAAATGGGATTTCCTAGAAGGAACATAGAGTTTGCGCTGAAGTCACTCACTGGTGCCTCTGGGAATGCTGCTGGCTTGCCAGGTATATTGTTTTCCTTGTGGGTGCTTCACTTACTGTGCCCACACATTTGTTTGTAGGTTTACCTTAAAATGCTAACATCAGCAGCCTGCAGGCAGGCTGGTGCTGTGGATCCTCACTGTGGGTGCACTGTGTGCTTGCTTGTAGGCGTGGAGGCCTTGGTTGGGTGGCTGCTGGACCATGCTGATGTGCAGGTCACAGATCTCTCGGATGCAGACACAGGGTCTGAGGAGTGTTCAGATGAGGAGGTGGTGGAGGATGTGGACGACTCGGCCTACGCTGTGGTCAGTGCCTCCTGTGTGGTTGCCCCACCTCTTGTGTCAACCTGATCTGTGCTCTGGATTTCCTGCATGCTCTTCCATGGGGCCTCTCTGCGGTTCTTCCGCACACATAATGAAGCTGCTAAGTGCTGACTGGGTTTTCTGTGCCTTAATTACTTTAGCTTTAAAGCAGACCCTTGTTCCAACATCTAGTGATGTTGGGTAGCCATTAGACTGTGCTTTATTTAAAAAGCATGTTTTATATGACACAGTGACTTCTGATTTAAGTAAATCATTTCATGGGATTAATTTGGAAATAACTCAAATTTTCCATACTTTTAGCTTTTCATATTCATTCTGTTTACTATATTATTTAATATTTTTTAAATGAAGAATTTTATAGTGAAAATACAGCATAATATTTCATACTTTATTTTTTAATATTAAAGATTTCACATACTTCTTTTTAAGTAGGTTTATCTGGCTCACAATTTTTAAAAAAATATATTTATCTCTTGTAGTCTACTGGTGCTGTTGTAACAGAGAGCCAGACATACAAAAAACGAGCTGATTTCTTGAGTAATGATGATTATGCTGTGTATGTGAGAGAGAATATTCAGGTGAGTAAATGTCTTAGCCTGGAGCTTTACTCAGGTTTCCAGTCAGTGTTCGAGCATCTTAGAATGTCAGAAGCCTGGTGGGGGAGGGCATAGCCCCTAGCAAGGAGGCCACTGTTACTGGAGCAGAGGACAGAGGAACAGAAGATGAACAAGGGGTACCAGAGCTAGAGAGCTTTTAAAAGGTGGTTTGTCCGTAACGACATGGCACAGACATATGTGCTTCTCAATTATCCCCATTTGGACACCTAAAAAATCTATTTTTGCTTGTTTTTCTTACATCATTCTTACTGCCAACTCATTTTTAAAATCTAGTTAGGCTCTTTATGTAGTCCTTTATGCATCTTAAATCCTTTCTTTTCTTGTTTTAATTCTTTTCTGGTTAGTATACTTCAGAGAAAACCTCAGAAATCATCTCATTTCATCTGTAAATATGTCAGTATGTAGTCCTAATAGATAAAGGATTTGTCTTTTTTTTTTTTTTTTAAAGATTTTTATTTATATGACAGAGAGAGACACAGCGAGAGAGGGAACACAAGCAGGGGGAGTGGAGGAGGGAGAAGCAGGCTTCCTGCGGAGCAGGGAGCCCGATGCGGGGCTCTATCCCAGGACCCTGGGATCATGACCTAAGCCGAAGGCAGACGCTTAACCATCTGAGCCACCTAGGCGCCCCTGTCTTTTTTTTTTTTAAAGTAAGCTGTATCACCAGTGTGGGGCTTGAACTCACGACCCCAAGATCAAGAGTCCCATGCTCTACTGGGTGTGCCAGCCGGGCACCCTAATAAAGGATTTAACATAACAACATTACTGTTACCTAATATTAGGTAACAAAATAAACAGTAATTCCATAATATCATCTTATACCCAGTGCTTGCTCAGATTTCCCCAGTTTTCTCAGAAACTGCTTTTTAAAACAGTAATTTTTGAATTTGGATCAAACAAGGTCATACAGCTTACATTTGGGTGATGTCTTTCTGAAATGCCTTTTAACCTAGAACAGTTGTCCCCTTTTTTTTCTCCTTTTCATGTCATTTATTTGTGGCTAAACTTTGTTGGATCACGTCTTCCTCCCTCCTCTGCATTTCCTGTAAAGTCAAAATGAGGTCTGGTGGGGTTGAGGGGAGCTCTTAGACTCAGGCAGTGCCTTAGGCATGAATGCATCATATGGACCAGCAGGCAGTGTTGTTGGTTAGGTCTTTTTCGTCTACTTCCATCTGTTAAGGAGTTCTCTATTGTACATTTTTGTGCTTTGATAGCCGTTCATGTCATCACCTAGATTCGTCATGAGGGCTTGCACAATAGTGGTTTTCTAACTTTGTCATGCCTTCTAGATTTATTAGCTGGAGTTTATTCTTTGAAGAACTCTTTTTAAATCAACTCTAGTTACTCTTTATAATACATTTTATATAAGAAAGGCAGAATAAATGCTTGTTTTGTTTTAGTTTTGCTTTATCAATTTTCAGAATGGTGAATTGGTGCCATGGAACTTACAAAGGTGACCAAGAAATTTTGCTTATTATCATTGTGATGAATTTATTGGCTGATAAGTATTTGATGTGTTTCAACCATTAGTCCTGTTGATCAAGTTGTTCTTTTGAATGAACACTCTGATCTTTGAGAGCTCCCTTGCTTTATGGCACAAGTTGATCCATGTTCATTTATGTATTTCCTGCCCCAGACCTTGAGCCAGCCAGTTTTCTAAAGATCCCTGGTTCCTTTTAGTGTAAAATGATTTTGAGAATACACTCTGGGTGCTAGAGGAAATCCTTTCTTAGAAATAGAATAATGCTACTTATAATTGTTCATTTCATCTATACACTGGATTGGATTTTTATTTTAATTTTAATCTTAGGTGGGAATGATGGTTAGATGCTGTCGAACATATGAAGAAGTGTGTGAAGGAGACGTGGGCAAAGTTATCAAATTGGATAGAGATGGACTACATGACCTCAATGTTCAGTGTGATTGGCAGCAGAAAGGAGGCACTTACTGGGTTAGGTATATTCATGTGGAACTTATTGGTAAGCCCATTCTAAAGTTCTTTTGCTTTTTCTTAAGTAGAGACAGAGTTCTCAGGAATAAATACTAATTATAGTTTACTTATTATTGTAATCTCTAGGCTATCCTCCACCAAGTTCTCCGTCTCACATAAAGATTGGTGATAAAGTTCACGTCAAAGCCTCAGTCACCACACCAAAATACAAGTGGGGATCTGTGACTCATCAAAGTGTGGGGGTTGTGAAAGGTAATATTATCCAGGCAACAAAATTCCAGATGTTAGCTTTTCATCAGCTAATGTAATAAACTCACTTTTTTTCATTCAAGGGCAAGAAAAACAAGTATGAAGAAAGTCTATGATATATAAATAGCATTTTTTTTTTTTTTTTTTTTTTGCTTGTCAGTGCTCTCTAGTCCAGGAACACACCTATAGTTGAACAGAGTCAGGTTTATTAACTCATTACCACTCGGGAGGATGCATACCCTGGAAAATAGGGTGTCTCCGTAAGTGGGTATAACAAAGGACTAATGGGGTTTGTGTTGGATATTTTGGGAAGGCTTCAAAGGAGTGGGGTAATTCTAAGAATGGGTATCTTAATAAATATTAATCTATAAGGCAGGGAAAAAATGGAGCTAGGGTGGAGTTAATGATTGGCAAGGAAGCAGTTGTTCATACTAATCAGGATGGGGGAAGTGGGGGGTTAGGGAGGGTATCTGATTGTGTTTGTGGTTTGGATTAGATTTGAACTTGATCAGACTGACTAAAGAGTGGTTTTGCTTTTGTCTTGATCTGTCACAGTCACAGGATAACCTTGTTTGATGTTGGTGTTCTGTAAACTTGTTCTGTCATTCTGCCAAATGGCCTATGTGTGAGTGTCTGGCCACCTCCCTCAGTTGGGGAGTATTTCTGTCTCTCTCTCCTCTCTGCTATAATAAAATTTAGGACTAAATTTAAGAAATGGAAATGTGCAAATGATGTGAGTTAAGAACTGGAAACACAAAATTCTTTTCAGTTTATATTTAATGCGATATTATTGAGATTTCAAATCAAGCACATGGTATACTTTAAAAGGTCTCCTATGTCCATTTTAACAATCACATGAGAAGTAATTAAAAATGCATCCGGTTTTATTTTATCTTTAAACTCTTTTAAGGCCATAGAGAGATCCTGTTTTGTTTTGTTTGAACCTTGTACAAAACTCTTACGGTTGAATAGCTTAGATTAGAAATGGCCATAATGGTGGTGCTTCCCCAGTGTGTGGGAGTGTTAGAATGTCTCAAGTTACATAAGAACAAATGGCTTATTTAACATTTTACTTTAACATTTTTCTTTACTTAAGAGGTTCTTAAAAGCTTTATAAGTCAAAACACAGATAAGTTTTAAAAATAAGAACTTGGTTCAGAAGTTAATGTTTGAGTAGCAGAGTGTTCTTACCAAAGGACAAGAGATCTCTTGACATTATTATTGTGATTTTTATTTCCTAAGATACTAAATGGAGTTTTTGACTTGTTGTAATTAAAAACAAAGAAACAAACTTATTGTGGAAAATTTCAGACATATACAAAAGTAGAGAATATAGCATAAAGAACCTCCTTGTGCCCATCACTTGGCTTTAATAGTTGTCAACCCCTGGCCAAAGTTGTTTCATCCATGTTTCCCTCCCTTGATTATTTTGAAGCTAATCCCTGATTGAGGTCACGTGTTAGTTCATCCATAAGTATCTTAGTATGTCTCTCTAAAAGAGAACTACTCTTTGTAAAACGTAAATGACTACAGTATAATTATCATATGATTAGGTATAGTTTAAATTTTAACATTAGGCTTTTATTGGTGACTAAGATGTTTCAGCAGTTTCTATTGTGTCCTAGCTTTCAGTGCAAATGGAAAAGATGTCATTGTCGACTTTCCTCAGCAGTCTCACTGGACTGGGCTGTTGTCAGAAATGGAGTTGGTGCCTAGTGTTCATCCTGGGGTTACGTGAGTTAATTTTTATATTGCTAGATTTGTTTGGGAGGAATCGTTTTCTTTGGAATTAAATTTAATAAATTGCCTTAATTTAATAAATGACGTTATCTTTTTCTTATCAATGCAATGGTTGTTTTAAAAATAGGTGTGATGGCTGTCAGATGTTTCCTATCAATGGATCTAGATTCAAATGCAGGAACTGTGATGACTTTGATTTTTGTGAAACCTGTTTCAAGACCAGAAAACACAATACTAGGCATACGTTTGGCAGAATAAATGAACCAGGTATGGTAGAATGGTTATGCTCTTTTTCATTAGAATATTATTAATGAAATTATTATTGTGCACATGTATGTTATTTAGTTTGCTCTTTAAAGTTCATGTTTATATAGTGAGCACTGCACAGTGTGCACAGTAAAAAAGAAAAATGCACACACTTGAAAACTTGCTGTCTTTTTTTTTCAAGCAATGAGGGACTACGGGCATTAGAATAACAGGGTTTGTTTGCTTGTATTTCCATGAATAACGTTAAAAGGGTCTCAAGAAACTAAAAAATGTTTTGTTGCATGGGGTGTGGAATTGGATAGATATATGTCTTTTATTATATCTTTTTTTTATTGTGGCAGAATATGTACAACACAAAATTCGCCATTTTAATCACTTTGAAGTGTACAATTCAGAGAATGTTGCACAACATCTCCACTATTTCCAAAACTTTTTCACCACTCCAAACAGAAACTTTGTACCATTAAGCGGTAATTCCCCATTTTCCCCTCCCCCAGTCCCTGGGAATTAGCTTGATGACACCAGGTACCACATATAGGTGGAACCAAAATTTGCCTTTTTGTGTCTGGCTTATTTTACTAAGGATTATGTTTTCAGGGTTTTTTCCATGTTGTAACATGTGTCAGAACTTCATTTCTTTTTATGGCTGAATAATCTTTCATACATACCACATATTGTTTATCTATTCATCTATTAACAAACATTTGGATTGTTTCTACCTTTCAGTTATTATGAATAATGTTACTGTGAACATTGGTGTACAGATCTGTTTGAGTTCTTGTTTTTAAAATTGGGAGTGGAATTGCAGGGTCATATGGTAGTTCTTTGAGGAAACTCCAAAATGTTTTCCAGAGTGGCTGTACCATTTTATATTCCCACCAGCAGTAGATAATGGTTCCAATTTCTCCATGTCCTCACCAACATTTGTTATTTTTCATGTTTTTTTAAATTACAGCCATCCTAATGGGTGAGAAGTATTATCTTGTGATTTTCATTTCAGTTTCCCTAATGACAAATGATATTGAGCCTCTTTTCATGTCATTTTGACCATTTGTATATCTTTTTGGGGGATATGTCTATTTGAGTCCTTTGCCCACTTTTAAACTCTTGATGTTGAGTTTTAGGAATTCTTTAAGGGACGCTTGGGTGGCTCAGTTGGTTAAGCGTCTGCCTTCGGCTCAGTTCATGATCTCAGGGTCCTGGGATCGAGCCCTATATCAGGCTCCCTGCTCAGTGGGGAGTCTGCTTCTCCCTCTGCTGCTCCCCAGGCTTGTGCTTTCTCACTTGTGCTCTCAATTGAATAAAATCTTAAAAAAAAAAAAAAAAAGAAAGAAAAAAAGAAAAAGGAATTCTTTAAATATTCTGCACATTGAACCGTATCAGGTGATTTGCAAATATGTCATCCCATTCTTTGGGTTATCTTTTCACTTTTTTTTTTTTATTCTTATGTTAATCCCCATACATTACATCATTAGTTTTAGATGAAGTGTTCCATGATTCATTGTTTGTGCATAA